TAATAATCTTGCCTTTAATTTTTATAATAGGTCAATTCACTCTAAATTTTAAAATAACGGAGATAAACGTGATCTGCTGAGCGTAAAATTTGCTATGMTACGYACTTGTACGACGGAGACAACACATGCGGGTTTGGCGTCCTCTTAAATCCTTAAAATAAACGCGAGTACAACAAAACTGTACTTGAATTGCCTATACGATACGCCGTCTATAGAACAAACTAATATACCTATACGAAAATGAAAAAAAACGAGATTAAGCCCAAAATAATACATATTATGTATAAGAAAATTAAGCATTTGATTATATAATTTTATATTTATACATTTTTTAAAGCTTGAAAAAACACATAAAATTATTTTGTAGCAAAAAATTTAGCATAAATACTCAATTTTAAATTACTTATGTTTAAATACTTATAATTAGGGATGAAAAGTTATAGGATTTGCATATTTTTTTCTATATCTCCTATAGCTAGGTGAGCTAAAAATCTGTTCTATAACCTAATGAATTKAAATTTGGTATTTMAATTTTGCATAKTTTTKCATATATTGGTAGTTTTCTTAAAAGTTGCATGTTGATGTTTTTTTGTGCATAAAAATGCATATTTATTAAAATTATTTATTATTTTATTGAATTTTATAAGTTTGTAGTCAATAACCAATAACATTTAATAGTATATAAAAGTAAATTTAGGATTAGTATCATTTATTATATTATGGAATTTCATAAGTTTGTAGTCAATAATCAATAACATTCTACATATAACAAAAATATTCTTTCGGATAATCGTCGGAGATTGGATGTCGAAAATATTAAAAAACTTTGGTGGTTCAATGCAACAAATKTACAGGTTAGGTTAGGTTAGGTTAAAAATTGTATTTTTATTTTTTTAGATTAATCACCTGACTATCAATATAYAATCAATACACCTACCAATCATTTATTATCTCATATTTATACCTAGTATTAATATTTTATCACTCAGTTAAAAATTATTTTTATTTTAATAGAATCAAATTTAACAAAATATTATTTATATTAATTTATTGTAAACATGTTTTTTTATTTATAAAAATT